ACACCCACCCACACCCACACCCACACCCCACACCCACACCCTGTCCTCTCTGACGATTATTGTTTGTTCGTCATTGGCTGAAAATGAGACTATTGATCGTAACTGACGGTCACTTTTTTTACATCACTATAATTGTTCATCTTATATTGTGCATATACACTTCTTCATATTCACCGTTGCTTTATGTGTTATTAATAATGTCGTCTTTATCTTTCGCAGATATTTTTGATAACACCATGCATTTTGATACACATGATGGACTCTCATACAAGAGTGTTATTCGATTCAGTAAATTATTTCAAATTCACAATATTTCCTATTATATAGTTGGTGGTTATGCTTTGATCTTTCATGGTGTTATTCGAAATACAATGGACATTGACATCATAGTAGCAGAGGCTGATTTTCAAAAAGCAAAGCAAGTAAGTATAGACTTTCATATATTTAAGTATATGTACATGAATACATGATCCTTTGTACGATTATCATGATGATTAACAATGATACGAAAGATATTTCTGAATATTTTAGATATTAATGGATGTTGGGTATACGAACGTACCTGGTGATAATTTATGTGCTAGATTTGAACATGTATGTTTTTTACCAGTTGATCTCTTGGTATCAACTATTTATGGTCCTGAGCCATCTAAAAGCAATACGATCGTATATGAAGAACGTATAGTTTTTTTGTAATCTTCCAGGCAAGTTTTATAACATCATAGAATACCATTGTCTATACCTGTAATTGTTTTTAGTTTTAGTATTAACGAAAACTAAAGCTTACCTTGGACGTCCTATGAAAATCGAATCAGGTTTCAAAAAAATTAGGGGTAAGTCATTGTCTTATTCAAATAAAATATGAATACAAATATTTCTTTTTATTTCATACTTTAGATTATGGGGACCTATGCGAGTTGATTGTTACCTTCAAACTTGAAAGAGAATATGAAAAAGATAATAATTTCGATATTGTTACTCAATCTACATATGAACGAATGTATAATGAATATTATGAAAAATACAATATGAAAAAAAAAGAAGCCAAAAAACAACCTAAAAAAACATGTATATGTCAATGAATCGATAGATTATTTCAATTTTATCATATCGTCTAGTAGGAAAAGATCGCACTTTGAGTTTGTTATATGCATCTTAAGTTTTGTTTTATTTTTCTAAGTTATGTGTGATATATTTTTTCTTGTATTTATTCATACTCAATGTACTTTGTTATATAGCTTTTGGTTCTTGTGTGTTATTATATCTCAGGTTTATCTTGCGAAAAGAGAAGATGTCATTATTAATAATAAAATCTCGTTTTGTTATATGATAACACTAACATTTCAGACTCATTATTAGTATGAGAATAACAATTGGATTTTCTAATTTGAATAATTTCTATTTTTAATAATAACACCAATGAGATAATATTTGTTATCAATATGGATTACTAATGAAATCTTCATCACGTTCATTAGTTCACAATCGAAATGTTGAAAGTTGTTCAATACTTTAGTAATCAAATAACATGCTGTTTCTTTAAATATCTGACAAATTTTTTTGTTGTTTAATAGAGGATATTTTATGGGAAGTGACTCAAGTAAACATAATGATAGAAATAGAAAATAATTTCAAGCTTTATCATCACATAGTAATGTTAATTTAATTATAAATTATTTAAATGAAACAACAGTAGTATCAGAAACAACGGCTGTAATAGTACATTAAATTAATATTTATGATAGACTAAAGCGATTCATTTCATTTCAATCGTTTATTATATAAGAAAAAAATAATTTAATATAGTCTACTATTACTTTTTGAAATTCTCATATTGAAAAAAAAAATCCTTTAATTAAAAGCTTTCTTTAATGGCACAACATTTTTTATGTATTATTGTAAAAAGAATTATTTCGAGATAATAATTGAAATATAAATCGAAGAAATGACGCTAATAGTAATTATCTGACATATTTCTTTAGGGAGTTTAATTCAATAAATATTCGTTTAATTTATCAATGTTTACTCATATTATTGTTGATTATGGATTAAAAGTCTATTAATATATCGTTAATAAAAGAGCATCTATAAAATAGCTTTACATTTAAGAAATTAAAACGAATTTATCTTTGATTTTTAGAAGTCAATGGACAATAAATGACTTTGAAACATGAGCCCCATTTAGGTCGAGGATGTTTTTCTCATGTTTACTATGTACGAGAAACAAACGACTAATATATTGTTGCCTTAAAAGTTATTATTAAAGATGAAATCGCAACTCCTTGTGTAGCTGAACAAATAATAAGTGAATATCAATTCAAAGTCGTCAAAAGTATGGTTTTTTTCTTTTTCTTTTTCTTGTATCTTATTTTAAATTATTTGATAAGACATGCAAAATTATTATGTCTTTATGGATTTCTACATGATGACCAAACAATATTTTTATTTCTTGAATATGCATCTGGTGAAGAATTATATAAGCGAATGAAAAAAGATAAGATTTTACAAGAAAGTAAAAAGGCTAGAGTATATTTATCTAATATATTGAGTTTGAATAATTCCAAATATTTTTTTCCAGTATTACAATGCATTATCATATTTTTATTCAAAACAAATAATTCATCGGCACATTTAAATAATTGAACTAATTTTAATTAGTTGAAATAAATTATTTTGTTTCTTTTATGACAGTGACACTAAACTAGAAAATACCCTTATTGGAATTCTTGAATTAGATTATTTATTTATCTATATTTAACTTATTTATATTTTTATTGTTATATTACAGCTGATTTTGGTTGATTGTAGACAAACAAATTTACGTGATATATTAGATCATTTAGTACCAGAGATACTTATGACATGTTAAATAATTATTATTTCCCATTTATTTATTATATAAAAATTGTTTATAAACCTCGATTCGATAGATTAACTCAACGAGATACAAGACGATTTGACCAACAAAAGAATTATTATATCTATCAATAATATCAATGTATGCTAAATATCATAGATTAGCTTTTGTGAAACACGATCTGAAAAAAGTGTTGAAGTGTATAGGGTAGAAATTTTGTACCC